AAAGGTTGAGTTTGCTTCCTGGGTCCACCCAGACTTGCAGGGCGTGCTCTATCCTGACTGCTGCAGGGCTGGGGGCTGGAACACACTGTGAAGACCCTGTTGATGGAACTTCTGTTTCTCTTTCTCTCTTGTAAAATAAGTAAACTTGGAAATAAAACAAAATGGAGTGGAAAGCTTCTGCTTTGTTAACTTGTTTCCCCCAAATTTCTTGTTTTCCCCTTTCTGCAAACTAGAACCCAGATGACACCTGGTTAGATGAAGACAATCTTTCAGGGAATGGTAAATCAATGACATGAAAGAAATCTGGGTCTATGAATAACCTGTGAGCAAAAAGAAATGAACTTCTATCTGCTTAAGTCTATTGTATTGTGGGGTCTCCTTAGTACAACAACTTAGATCTTCACTAATACCCCAATTAATGCAAGCACTAGGGGTTAAGAGAACTGGATTCCACATCACCAACTGTGGTTAGAGTCCTGGCCCCAGCAGCTTAAAAATCATGCTAGTGGGCCAGCAGGTGGCGTAGCGCTTAAGGTTTGGGACTCCCACATGGCCAACCACAGTTTAAATTCCAGACTCTGTGACTTGAAGTCACACTGAGTGCATATATGTGCCCAAAATCCCAGGAGGAGAATGGAGGAGAAGGGGTTGTGGTGTAGCCATCCTCCCTTGGGGGTGATTTCTCACTTTTCCTCTCACTGTCTCTTTCTGTCTCCTTCTTTCTCTGGCAAGCACACACACCCTAAGCTCAAAATCTTAAAGAAAAAAATAATGCCGGCCTCTGTGTGAGTGTGCCCTAAATCCAACAGGATGGAGAAACAGAAAAGAAGGAATGCAGCAGGACTGCGCCCTATAGAGAGGTGCTTCCCTCACCCCCTGGTGAGCACATGTGCCCACTGGCGATTAAACACACACACACACACACACACACACACACACACACACACACAAGGTAGCGCTAATAAACTGATGGGTGCTTATGTGGATGAATTTTGTCTGTGGTGGGTTTCATGCTAAGACAGCAGTTCTCCAAGTATGGTAACCTTGAGATCCTTGAGAACATTTCAGGGGGCACTGGAAGTCAAAATTATTTCTGTGACAGTACTAAGCCATTGTTGTCCCTTTTGCTTTCATTCTCTCCTGAGCATACAGTATTCAGTGATCCATGACTTAGGATAGCCTGACAGATTGAATGAAGAATCTGAGATTTGCACAAATGGGTAACAACATCATTCTTACCACTAAATAGTTTCGTTTGGGAACTACAGTCATTTTTCATAAAAGATATGTTAATATGTAATGAGTTTCTTATTGTTATTACTTTTTTTTTTTTCGGAGAGATTCTCGCTATAGGGCACATGTGCTCGCCAGAAAGACAGAGACAGACAGAGAGACAGAAAGCGAGAAAGCACCCCCCGGGGGGATGGCCACGCCGCAATCCCTTCTCCATTCTCCTCTCAGGATCTTGGGCATGCACGCACATGTGCCTGGTGTGAGTTTAAGCCACTGGATCCGGGACTCGAACTGAGGTCAACTACATGGGAGTTCAGTGACATAGCCATTACGCTAACTGCTGGTCCCTGTTATTACTTTTTAAATTCTCTATGGGGTATGTGTACTCACTGGAGATAGAGAGAGACAAAATGAGAAAGCACCTCTCAGGGGTGATGACCATACTACAATCCCTTCTCCTCCATTCTCTTCTCAGGATTGTGGTACCCACGCATATGCTCCTAGAGCGTTTTCCAAGTGGTCCAGGACTGAATCACACAGTTGGCACTCGGGATCCAGCCACCTTAAATACCACACTACTTGGCTGGCCAGATTTTTTAGAGTGTTAGATGATCAGAGAAGTCAGGTTCCTCTTGATCCCAGAGGTTACCTCTTGACTTGTTGAATCCCAACATGGCGATACCATTTGTTTGCCACTGACTGGCCTAGAAATGGGCAGGAAATGCAGTTCTGCACAGTGACACTGAGGGATGTCTCGGGGGATACTTCCGGGAAACTTCACCTCACACTTGTCAAGGGGCCTGAAACTATGACAGGGCATTTTCCTGCTTTCTAGCCTTTAGTTAGTTAGTTAGTTTGTTTGTTTGTTTTTTAAAGAATTACTTATTTAATTTTATTTATTCATTCATTTATTTTAATTTGACAAGAGAGAAGAGAAAGAGACAGAGAAAGCAAGCCGCCAGGTGAAAACACTAAGCTTGGGGGACCAGCAGATAGTGTAATGGTTACATGGCTGGACTCCCATGTTGTCAACCGTGTTTCAAGTCCCCAATCTGGCGGCTTAAAACTCATACCGGCACAGTGTGTGTGTGCCTGCCCAAGATCCCAAGAGGACAATGAAGGAGAAGGGTTATGGCATGGCCATCCCCTGTTGCGAGTGATTTCTCACTTTCTGTCTTTCTGTGTCCCTCTCTGGTCAAATTAAAATAAATAAATAAATAAATAAATAAATAAATAAATAAAGTTAAATAAAATAATTCTTAAAAAAAACCTTCCATACTAATTTACATATCCTTCTATTGTTTATTTCTTTCATGAAACTAGTCAGAATTTATATAATTTGGTCAGCCTGTGACCTGGTGGTTAGTTAAGAGAACCGGATCTCACATGACCGAGTGCACAGTTCAAGTCCCAGACCCAATGTCTGAGAAACATGCCAAGTCCATGTGCATGTGTGCCCTAAATCTCGACAGGATGGAAAAATAGCGAAGAGACAGCTGAGGAAGTGTGATCATGCCCAATCAGGGGATGTGTTTGCCTTCTCCCTCTCTCTCGAACACCTTCCTCGGTTTCCTTAGCCTTCATTCCCCCATCTCTCCATCTATAATTAGCCCAGGTTGACACAAAGCCCTCATGCCACCTGAACTTTCTCAGGACAAAACATGGGGAAGGGAATGGATACAAGGTTTACATCTAGAAGACTTGTGCTCGACTCCAATGTGGCTCTGACTAGGTAAATGACAGGAACAAGCCATTTAACTGCTATACCTCAATTTCCTTGTCCATAAAATCAGGATAATGGGTGGTAATGATGCTCGAGTGAGATGCTACAGGTACACAGACTTGAAAATTATAAAACATTATACAAAATAATTATAAAAAGTTATATAAAAATTGGTGACTTTCACTATTTTCAGCATTCCTGACACTGAGATTGGATTAGAAGCAAACAATACTAAGGTTATTCTTGCAGGGCTCTGGATTACCCTGTCTAATCAGCCACTTCAACGCCCTTCATTATTGATTCGTTCAGCAAGTACTTACTGAGTACTTTGATTCATTCAGCAAGTACTTACTGAGTACTTATAGCAGGCCAAGTGCTGTTGTGTGTGTTGAGAGTAGAACAATGAAGATGACTAAGCGTCAGCTGACCTTGTCTGAAGGAAAGTTGTGGTTGGTTAGAACAAACTCTTACCCTGAACAGGCTAGCCATGGATCTCTTTGGTCATTTGACAGTATCAAGTGGGGGCAAAGAAGGGAGAGAAAGGGGAGAGAAATGTAGCGAAAAGAGGAAGCTGAAAGCATCTAATCCTAGTAAAATCCAGAAATGGACCTGGTTTCATCAAAATTAAATGTCCAGACATCATTTACACCATATCCTGGCTAAAAACACAAAATCTAAATCTATGAGTCAACAGGTGGCCTGGTGGTTATGGGTGCTGGACTCCCACATGGACGACCATGGTTCGAGTCCCAGACCTGGCAGCTTGCTTTCTCACTTTCTCTCTCTTTTGCTCTGTCCATCTCTGGCCAAGTTTAAATAAATAAATAAAGTTAAATAAAATAAGTCTTAAAAAAAATAAAACCTTGAATCTAATCATGAGAAAACATCAAATAAACCCCAAATGAGGAGCATCCTCTATTTTTTTTAATGCAGTAAAATATAAAGGAAGGTTGAGGAAATTTCTCAGATTAAAGGAAGCTAAAGATGCACGTGAAATAAATACCATATTTCAGCTTGGACTGCATTCTTTGTATTCTATGAAGGTGGTGAGTGTGATAAAGTTCATTATTGGGTCAATTGACAAAACTGGAACACAAATAATAGACACTTTACTCAAGAGGAAGTTTTTATTTTAGAAAATGCACACATGCCCGTGCACACACACAGTGTGTGGGAGGGTGGGGGATGTGGGGGAAAACAAATGATAAAACAAATGGAACAAATTCTTAACAATGGGTAAATCTGAGTAAAGGATATACATGTGTTCTTTGTACTATTCTTGCAACTTTTCCAAATAAGATGTTTTTTAAAATATTGTGCCCAGAGGACTTAAACTCTAAGCTGAGCCTTTTGGCTCACTCGATACATGACCCTGAATGAAGCTCTTCCTCTCTTGGCCTCAGTTTTCTAGACCAGATGGTTCCTAAGGCTCTCTCTCGCTCTGGCAATCAACGTCTCACGACATTAAGGACGTTTCCTAGAATATTTCCAGACAAGCCTTCAGAAGGAAGACGGCCCTCAGCTTCCCCCAAGGACTCTCAGTAGTTCGCTACAACGTTCTACGAGGTGTCCACCCACCCTGATGGAAACCTCAGTCATTAGTTTGCCCTTACCTGTTGGACACCATCCAGGGCCCACCCTCTTTCCCACCGCCCTAGGGCTCATGTTCCGCAGCCTCAAGCTCCAGCCCAGGATAGGCACGTGCATTTATGGCCGGTGAACTACAACTCCCAGAAGGCATTGCGGCAGGACCTTCTCAGTTACCACCAAAGAGGAATGGCTTTCCTCGCGCGAGCCGGTAGCTGCATGGCCTTTGGGGAATTGTAGTTCATCTGCGAAGAGCCGCGGAACCCAGGTGGAGCTGCAAACCACCCTTCCCAGAACTCACAGCGCTCATTTCCACCAATCAGAGGTGTGTATCTTGGAGAGCGGGCGGGGGAGAGGAGGAGCTGTCCGGCGCACGCGCAGTATGTGTGGCTGGGAAATTCATGTGGAGGTCAGAGTGGAAGCAGGTGAGAATGGTGGAGGCGGCTGAGGCCTGTGTCTGGGCGTTTGTGCAGTCCTCCTGTGCCCTCCCATGCTCACTCTGGGCGAGTGGGGTGCATGAGTGCGTTCGCCCCGTGGGGGAGGGGCGACGGACTGAGCCCAGGACGGGCCAGGATTTCCCCAGAGTGAGGTGTGTATGGGGGGGTGGGGGTGGGGAGTAGGGTAAGGAATAATCTAGAAATGGAAAGGACTCGTGTCCTGCATTCGTGGAAGGAGATTTAAATGCACGCGCAGAGAGAGACTGAGGTAGTGTCAGAGCCGAGGCCTGGGGAGAAGGGGAAGAGAGTTTTGAGACCCAAGCGAAGGACCACGTTGGGGCAGGGGCATTGTGAGGTTAAACGCCAGAGTGGTCTCTGGTTAGACGGACTGCCCACCTCGCCGCAGACTGTCTGCCAGTTCTCCACCTCTTTCCCTGCTGTGCAGCTGGGTTGAGCCCTTTTGCCCAGTCCCAGAATGTCAAGCTCCTGCATCCGTCAAAGCAGATCATTCTCCGCACGTGCTGTTGAGAAGGAGCGTGAAGAGTGAGACTGTGCCTTCTACTAAGTGGTGCTGCCACTTAATAGCTGTGAGGCTTGGGGCTCCTCCCATAACCTGTGTGCCTCAGGGTTCCTCACCTGGAATAGTGTACTTCATAGAGTAGTGGTGAGGATTAAATTAATTGCTCTTAGAAAATTGCCTGGCATAAAGCTAGCTGTTATTGTTATTTTTGTTGTTGACCTCACCAGGTAGCACATTCTGGGTGAGTTACTGTTTTCAAAAAACAGAATTGCACAGAACCAACGCCACAGCCTCTCAGGGCACGCTTGCCCAGGAAATGGGAGGGTGATTTCATATGGTGCCAAGGTCTCTATAGGCAAGAGCCTGTGCCTTGCTCCTGTTATTAAACCAAGTGCCCCATACTCCGTTAAGTAGTTGAAGGAGGGGAAAAAAACTGAAGGGAAAAAAAAGCCCAGGGATTGATACTGCACTTTGCGAACTGCAGGGTGTTACTTAGTCGGCGCCCTTCAGTGGCTGATTTAGGAGCTCTCAGGAGTCGGGGAAGTGGTAGCCAGCTTGAGAAAAGTGAAAAGTAAACGTTGTACCGCAGAGAGAGTCAAGTTGTTTTCTTTTGTTTTTACCCTCTTAGGTGTGAGTGGGTCCAACAGAAGGAAGTATGGCTGCCAAAGTGTTTGAGTCCATCGGCAAGTTCGGCCTGGCCTTAGCTGTTGCGGGGGGCGTGGTGAACTCTGCCTTATATAATGGTGAGGCGCTGAGGGGTCGTGAGTCACTGCCTTTGCCGGGAGGTTTCTGTTGGTCCGCATCGCCTGGACATTGCTGTCTGTGAATGTGTGTGTGGCCAAGAGGGCTCACCCACTGCTGTTTGACACCACAGGGTTGCGTTGTTATCACAACTGTCCTGTGAGCAAAGGGTCTCTTTGAGCCTTTATTCAAAAAAAGCCTCTCAGCCCTGTTGCTGGTTGGACGTTTCCAGTTGCTCAGTCAGTTTAAAGCGATGCTGCACCACCTAAGTGCTTGTAGTAGGGTCAGTGTGCAGTAACTGAGCAAAGGCCTCATAGCTGTTTTGGGTGACTGTCCTGAGCAGGAGCTCCTGAAGTTGGGTAGTTCCAAAGAAAGTATCTTTGACACGCCCTGCCCAGCTTTTAACAGCACGGCAGAGGTGTAAGCTGGCGTTTCTCCCTCTGTACTGTGTGGAGTCAGGCAAATATTCTCCCCACCTCTAGGCCTCAGCTTCTTACTGCTCAAACAATGATTGCAGTAGTTTATTGCTAAGGGCCCCTCCAACACTGACATGCTGTAACTTTTCCTGCAAAGCAGCAGGACATGGACTCAGTTGGTGTGTGGCTGACAGGAGGGTTACTCTCAGAGTGAGGGTATTTGGACCAACTAGAAAGTCCAGAGAGGCAGAGACAGCAGCTGGTGAGAAAAGCCTGCTTGGCAGGCCAGCCTGTGGCATGGCAGTTAAGGCAGCTCGATCCCACATGGCGACTGCTTGGTTTGAGTCCAAGACCTGGTGAGTCGAGTAGCAGGCAGGCCGCGTGTGTTTAGTGACAGTGAAGACCCCGGTGAGTTCTGGTTTTGCAAGGTAATGCCTGGAAACGTGTTGGGAGTTTGGTGAAGGGAAGGTTAATCAGAAAATCAAGATCTAGTTCCTTCAAAAAGAAAGGATGCCAAGGACAGACCCTGTTTCCTTGTCTCTGTCCTTGGGGGGACACGTGGAGTAGAAAACGATTGCTTAGTTTGCCTCTAGAGAGCAGGCGTTCAAGCAGATAGAGCAGGAGAGGGGAGACTTAATAAATGAATAGAAAGCACTAGGGATCTTTCAAAGACATGATCCTTCTGGTTAAAGAACAGAGGTTTTTCTCACCCGTCATTATCCTCCTTCCTAGTGGATGCTGGGCACAGAGCTGTCATCTTTGACCGATTCCGTGGAGTCCAGGACATTGTGGTCGGGGAAGGGACTCATTTTCTCATCCCCTGGGTACAGAAGCCAATTATCTTTGACTGCCGCTCTCGGCCTCGTAATGTGCCGGTCATCACTGGCAGCAAAGGTGAGTCTTGCCTGTGGGTTGGGTACAGCAGGAAGTATGGAAGGAGTACTGTGTGCTTGTGTCAGGGCCAAAAGCACCTAGGACACCAGAATCCGAGAGGCTGGACCTCAGGTCATGAGAATTCCTAGTATGGGGACCAGTAGATGGCATAAAGGTTACGTCACTGGACTTTCATGTAATTGCTCGCTTTTTGAGTAGCGGGCCCAGTGACTTAAAACTCATGCCAGGCGTATGTGTGTGTGTGTGTGTGTGTGTGTGTGTGCCCATAATCCCAAGGGGAGAAAGGAGGAGAGGGGATCATGGTGTGGCCATTCCCCCAGGGGGTGATTTCTTGCTTTCTGTCTCTGGTGAGCACACATGCTCTCCAAAAATATCTCTCAAAAAAAAAAAAAAAAATTTCTAGTATATTTGTCCTGGAGAGCTTATATGGATCCATAGAAAGAAATACATACTTAAAGTACAAACACAGACAGCAGTACAAGCTTAGAAAAATGTTCGGAAATGTAAGAGTTCCATGGCTGGTGGTATGGTGGTGAAGGCACTGAATCCCATGTGGCTAGCTGGACGGTTCCAGTCCAGGTCCCAGTGACTTGAAGAACACAGCAGGTGTTTGTATGTATGTGCCCAAGATTCCAAGAGAAGGGATTGCAGCATGGCCAGCCCTGCTGGAGGAGTGATTTCTCATTTCCCTTTCTGTCTCTCTCTGGCAAACACATGTGCCCTATAGCAAACTGTGGTGGGGGAAGCATTACATAGCCATCTAATTTTAAAGAAAAACTGTCCCCGTCGACCCTTCCCGCCCACTCTTGCTCCCCAGAGTGACTGTATAAACCGGTCTCTGGCCATCTGTTTGCCTTTGTAGTTGACTTACCCTTTGCCTTGCTTTCCACGGCCTCTGATCCAGCGGAGCATCTCACATGGCCCTGAGAGCAGTCTCTTGGTATCTGTGAGACTCCACTAGATTTCCACTTGGAGCTGATTTGAATTGCTGTCACTGTTTTCCTTCATCCTAACCATAGAGGTACACAGGCAGTTAATGGAGTAACAGGTGTGGGTTAGCAGCGACATTTCTGTGCTTTAAGAGGGAAGGTCACGTGGATAGTGTTTATTTTGACAGCACTCAGTGCCTTCAGTGCTCTTCTGGAGCAGATGTTTGCTTACTGTGATTGTGCCAGGCTTTGTGCTGGTTTGGCGTGAAGGGGCCATTCAGTGAGGGCCAGAACAGGAACCTTGGAGGAGCTCAGTCTGGCTAGGAAGAGAGACATGTGAGCGAGCGGTAGAGTGTGAGGAGTACCAGGGTCGAGGTCATGCAGACTGTAGGGGAGCCCAGAAGAGCAGCTAACTCAGTGAGTATGGGACGGCTTCCACAAAGAGCGGGCCTGAGCTGGGCAGAGGAGGGGGAAGGATATATTAGGAAATCTGTTCTGTAGCTCCTTGTGGGAGAAGCCTCTTGTAAAAGGGCTGGCTGGCTGGGCCAGGAGATGGCATGGTGGTTAAGCTCCGGATCCCACATGGCTGACTCTGTAGTTTGAGTCCTGGACCCAGTGGCTTACACATGTTGGGTGTGTGTGCATGCATGCCCAGAATCCTGAGAGAATGGATAGGGATTGAGGTATGGCTGTCCACTTTGGGTGGTGATTTCTAAGTCTATCTCTGGCAAGCACACATACCCTATGGCAAAAAAAATTTTAAATAAAAAATTTTTGAGAATCTCATTTGCCTACGATCAAAAAGAAATAAAAAGTGGAGTGAAGGGTGATAATGGAGAAACATGAAATTTAACTTAGAAACCTACTTCCTCCACTTCTTACCTCTTTGAGATTTCTTTCTGTATTGTTTTGTAATTGTCTTAAGGATATAATATATATATATATCTCCATGCCAATTTCCAAAACACTTCATTGGAACTTCTGAAGATCAGAGATTTGTGTAAATTAATGCCTTTCCCTCTTCTTCTCTTGGTGCCAGGTTTAGGACTCTCTTGGAGAGGTTTCTGCTATAGGGCATGTTTGCTCGCCAGACAAAGAAAGACAGAGAGACAGAAAGTAAGAAATCACCCGCCAGGGGGGATGGCCATGCCGCAATCCGTTCTCCTGCATTCTCCTCTCGGGATTGTGGGCATGCACGCACACGTGCCTGGCATGAGTTGAAGCCACCAGGTTCGGGACTCAAACCGCAGCTACATGCGAGTCCAGTGACATAGCCATTACACCATCTGCTGGTCCTCAGGTTTAGGACTCTAATCCGTGGGCACCTGGTCCACATTGTTGATGACTGCACGTCTGCTAGGACAGCTCTCAGCAGGCCGAGTGTCCAGAAGTTATCCAAAGGTCCCCTATCTGGGTCCTTTGACAGGGCCAAGCAGTGCAAAGTGGACCATAGATGAGTCGGAGTGCTTTTTTATCTGTTTTCACCTTCAGTTCCCCGCACCCTCGTTCTGCGAGGTCGTGAAGGCAGAAGCAGTCATCCCCATTCTCCCAAAGAGATAAGCTTAGGTTGGCGAAGGCGTAGTGAGGCCACCTAATTAGTGAACAGCAGTGTAACACCACAGCCGGGTCTTGGGACCACTACTCTAGTGCCGTTTCCACCAGACCCACACTCACCTGTCCAGGGTCCACTTCTGACCTTGGATAGGCCTTAATGCTAGAATTCTTGGCATTCAGTTGGCTGTTATCTTTTTTTTTTTTTTTTTTCCTTTTAACTGCCAGAAGACGTGTGCACTTGCTAGAGAGAACTAAAGAAAAAAGGAAGGAGAGAAAGTACCCCCAAGTGGAGTGTGATCATGCTGCAGTCCCTTCTCCACTTCTCCGCCTCTGCATATTTTGGTGTCCACAGGGGTCCTGAAACCAGCCCCTCATGGATACCCAGAGATCTCTGGTGTGCGCCCCTGGACAGTCAGCCTGCTCGGAGCTGAGTCGCTGTCCCGGCTTGATGCAGTCACCAGTGTGGACCCAGTGCCGGAGGATCAAAGTGCTGAACATTTTAGAACAGTAGACAGGGTTGGTCCCATAGCCTCATGACTAAGGGAGCCTAATCCCACGTGGCCAGCCAATGGTTTGAATTCCCAGCCTGAGTGGCTTGAAAAACATGATGGGGCATGTGTGTCCCTTCCCCAAATCCCAGTAGGATGGAGAACTGGAAGAGAAAGGATTACAGCATGACCATGCCCGACTCGGGGTGCTTCCTCTGTTCTTGCTGAGCACACGCACCCTCTGGCAATTTTAAAAAATGGTGTTGTATTTACAAATAACCTGCATACATCTTCCCTTATATATGTTATTTCTTAGTGATTTATAATACCTAATACAATGCAAACGCTGTGTAAATAATTATACTGTCCTGTACAGGGAACAGTGACAGGGAGTACATGGTCAGTATAGGCACAACTGATTCTTTTTGGAGGGGGGAGGTCGAATATCTTGTTGAACCCATGGATTAAGAGCCAACTGTGGGGGGTGGCAGGTGGTGTGGTGGTTTTGGGCTCTGGACTCCCAAATGGCCAACTGTGGTTCGAGTCCCGGACCTGGGGGCTTGCTTTTTCACTTTCCCCTTCTCCCTCTTTATCTCTCTCTCTGTCCCTCTCTGGTCAAATTAAAAATAAGTAAATAAATAAAGTTAAATAATTATTTTCTTTTTAAAAAAGACAGAGTCAACTGTATGAGCCAGTCAGGTGGCTTAGTGGTTAAGACAGCTGGATCCCACGTGGCCAACTATATGGTTCGAGTCCTGGACCCAGCAGCCTGAAAAACACTGGGTGTGTGTGCATGCATGTCCAAAATCCCATGAGGGAGAGTAGAGGAGAAAAGATTGTGGCAAGGCCATCCCCCAAGGGGTTGATTTCTCACTTTCCCTATTTTTTCTCTCTCTCTCGTGAGCACATGCACCCAATAGCAAAGAGAAGAAGGAGAGGAGAGAAAGCATACCAGCTGTAATCTGAATTGCTTGTAGCAGAGGACTCTCGGGACATCCTCAAAAGTTAGTGCCATGAAAGTCTTTAAGAAGTTCCTAATTCTGATGCCCCACTGGCTTCTCTGCCAAGGAGACCAGGCATACCTGCTCTTCGGACTCTATAGAGTTTTATAATCAGCAAATTTGCTTGTAAATTATAGCAATTCGGGGTAGGAAGGGTCCTGTAAAAGGCCACTTGTTTCCCCACTGTGGTTTTTATTTTTTATTTTTAGATTTATTTAATTTTATTTATTCATTTGTTTTAATTTGACCAGAGAGAGAGGGACTTGAACCATGGTCAGCCATGTGGGAGTGTCCAGCACTTTAACCACCACACCATGGGCTGGTCCTTGTGTTTTTTTGTTTTTTTTTTTTAACTTTAGTGTTCGTCCCCTCCTCTAAGATTTACAGAATGTCAACATCACGCTGCGCATCCTTTTCCGGCCCGTGGCCAGCCAGCTTCCGCGCATCTTCACCAGCATTGGCGAGGACTATGATGAGCGTGTGCTGCCGTCCATCACTACCGAGATCCTCAAGTCCGTGGTGGTGAGTGACGGGGGCCCAGGAGATTGCAGGGAGGCAGGAAAAGCTTGCCAGTGGGTTTGTTGGGGTGTGGCTGTGAGTTCCCTAGTTCCCTTTCTGCTTCCTCATTTCCCAGCTCTGCTCTCCTGTCCCTCCCCTTGAACCAGGCTCGTTTCGATGCTGGAGAACTAATCACCCAGAGGGAGCTGGTCTCCAGACAGGTGAGCGATGACCTTACGGAACGAGCAGCAACCTTTGGACTCATCCTGGATGACGTGTCCTTGGTAAGATGCTCTTTGTAGGTGCCTTTTTTCGGGGGTAGACACTATTCTGTCTTGCCTTCCACTGTCCTGGATGAGAGACTTGGAGACTTGACAGTATGAGGCAGTCTCCTTGGGTGTGTCTTAGTTTGAGAGTTCTTTGCCCTCCCATCTGCTGCATGCACTTTTTTTTTTTTAAAGAATTAATTTTATTTTATTTTATTTATTTAAATTTGACATGAGAAAGAGAGAGAGGGAAAGTGCGAAAGCAAGCCTCCAGGTCAGAGACTCAAACTGCAGTCAGCCATGTGGGAGTCCAGCACCCTTAACTACCACGCCACCTGCTGGCCCCGTGCTACATGTATTTTTTAATGACCTCTGGTCATACCCAAATGGCCCCTAACTGCTAGATTTTTATTTTTTATACCTTCCGCAAGCTGTGAGTATTCCCCAAAGCTCCTCAGAAAGTGATACTGTAACCCTGTTTGACCCAGGAAGAAACAGCCTGGTAGAGACCAGAGAACAGCTCGGGTAGTCTTTCCCCCTAGCACAGACCTCCCAGCCTGACCCCGGGAACTGAAGCTCTGTGACGTGAGTTCTGGGAACCCCCCGTGAAAGGCGATAGAGTGTAAATGAACAGTTTTGTTTCCCAAGGCCTGGTATTAGGGGCAAGGGACAGCTCCAAGGCATAGCTATTCTCTTGAGACGTGATAGCCTGTGTATTTATATGACATTGAATGTCATAACTCAGACAGAAAGCGGTACAGGCAGGATAGCATTTCAGGCCAGGAGGGTGAGGGGAAGGGGTCGTGTTTCTAGATTCTCTGGGAAAAATTATTTGGGGTGATTTGTTCGGGTAGTGAGGTAGAGTGCTTCCTGTTCAGTTCTCCTGTGCATCGCTAGGGAAAGGCACCACTTCCCGCTCAGCGTCTGTGCAGCTGTTCAAACAGTCAGCTTTCTGACGCCCCTCCAACACCCTTACCCAACACGCTTACCCTGCTAACCCTGAGCTGCTCCACCTGCTAGGGCTGCTGAAAACGAGGGCTTGTGGGCTCCCTCTGCTGTCAAGACGCCAGGCTGCAGCACTGTGGCTCCTCTGACTGGAGCCCGCATTCCTCAGGCTCTCCCTGCTTTACCGTGAACACCTGGGTTATGAAAAAGCCCTAAGGAAAAAGCTAAGGAAAAACATGGCATTTCACTAGATTTTAACCTCATACTCCACATTGGGGAAATGGGGGCTGACTGCAAGAAACTGTATCTAAGAGGTGTGATGAGAAAATTAGATTTCGTGGGGAATTTGCTGCCCTCAACTGGCCCTTTTAGAAGGAAGTTTTATTTCTTACTCGAGCATTTTATTTTTCATTTCTCAGGCTCACATATTCTTACCCAGACTTTGAACGAGAGTCCAGAAAAGTAGTCAGGCAAAGTAGAACAGCTGCAATTTAAGAGTTACGAGTGTTGGGACCAGCAGATGGCGTAATGGTTACATTACTGGACTCCCACATAGTTGACCGCTGTTCAAGTCCCAGACCTGGTGGCTTAAAACTCAGCAGGCATGTGTGCATGCATGCCCAAGATCTTGAGAGGAGAATGGAGGACAAGGGACCGTGGCATAGCCATCCCCCAAGGAGTGATTTCTTGCTTTCTGTCTGTCTCTCTGGCAAGCATACGTGCCCTATAGCAAAAAATCTCTCTGAGGAAAAAAAAAAGAGTTATAAGTGTTAAAGATGCCGGGAGACAGGGTGGCAAGGTTTACATTTTAGAAGAAGTTTGGGGCTGCTTACAGTATTTTTTTAAAGCAGAGGCTGGGGAGATGGAGAAGACATAGAATTTGGTAGCAGAACAGCTGCCTGTCTTCCCTTCATTTCTTCTTTTCCAATGAAAAGTTGGAAGAGCAAGTGAATTGCTCTCAGCGAGGCCTTAGGAGTCCTGAGCTCTGCTCCCATCCTGCATACTATCTTTAGAGACAGTCACTTCTGCCAAGTCTCGGTTATTTATGTGATTAGGGAAGTCTGTGGATAATCAGACTTGAAACCTTCTCCCTGACCAATGGCTTTACCTGCCTTCTTGTTCTTTTAAGCCCTTTCGCAGAAGCGTGCACACATCAGGGATACCATGACTCACATTCCACCTTCTGTCCTCTTCCTGTGTAGCGGTGGAGGTGCCGTGAGAGAGAAGTGGACTGGTTAATCCATAAGCAGAGAGCATTGGGCAGTTGAATCCCCAGAGCCAGCTGTATCCTCCACTCCTAGGGATTCGTTTTTCCCTGCAGCCTCCCTTGGGCCTCTGCACGGGGTATCAAAGGACTGTGGAAGAGCACCAGGCGGTGGAGGGTCCTGGAACTCATAGGTCTCTAGGGAGGCGGTCGATTGAGTAGATAGCCCAGCCAAGGGGTCTGGGTGTTGGACAAGGCTGCGGAGGTGGAAGGGTGCCCCGGCCTCACAGATGCCCCCAGCTGCTAGAGATATTCCTGGCTCTGCTTCCTTCCCGCGCCGCAGAGGCCTCCCCGCAGTGCTGCCTAAGTAATCACACCGCCTCATCTTGCGCTTGCTCTCTCCCCCCAGACGCATCTGACCTTCGGAAAGGAGTTCACAGAAGCAGTGGAAGCCAAACAGGTGGCTCAGCCGGAAGCGGACA